TATTATAATTTTTTCCCAAGGTTATCCCAAGGATTTTCAGCTGGGGTCTCACCGATTTGAACCTTTGTGTTTGGCAGGTATGCAATAGCGTGGATATATGACAGCACTGCACAGTACGATCAAAGTGCGGGGGAGTGGCAGAGTGGCTCACATTCTGCATTACTATCTACCTGGTGACCTATGTTTGATTCCCGGCTGTGGCCAACATCAGTGGCGAGTGACATCTGAACCTCCAACTGCCCAGCAAGAGAAAGTGTGATCAAACACCCCCCAAGATTGATACAGTGTGGGAAATCTTTCATCCCACAGTGGACTGACAAAGGTTTGTAGATTCTGACATTGTACTACATGATTTATAACAATGTCTCCCTTAATTGTTTTTATAATCAGAAAGTCAGAATTTAAAATCCATGTTGGGGTCAACCCAACACATAATCAGTTCCAGGCTGATAAAATTGAGCCGCACTTTGTGGGAATAGAAGTGATTCTACAGAAATAATGGCCCATGCCATATAAATGTGGAATTGCTAATACTGGCTCAGGCCTGCCAATGCTCATTTAAGAATTCAAGATTTTTCATATGCTGATATTTAATGTTTTTTCCACATCATACCTACTTTGTAATCCTGTACATAGAATATGAATAGCATATAAAGAGTAAGTATTTTGCTGAGCACACACACTCGGAATGTAGTGGGAGTGCTGTGTCGGGTATGCTCAGGATGTTAGATGATAAACATGCCCCAAGCAAGGAACACTCGAGATAAAATTTGGCATTCTCATTTCACGGGTCATGTGACAGTCCTCATATTTTCACTCATGAATAAGCCACGATCAAAACGTCTTCCTGCTCAAAGAGCAACGCAGTAGCATTCATCTCCGACAGCGCCTGAACCAGTCGGGAAAATTCCACATTCCTGTTGTGGGGGCCAGTCTGTCCATAGAACAACGTTGGATTCCCCACAGAATGGTTCACATTTTCTTCGACCACGGAAAGCTCTTAGATTGCGTTAACCCACAGCTGGGATTATTAACGTGTAACCTTCAGAATACGAGTCGAAGACAATACTATAATGTAGGTAATATGTGCAGAATATCTACCATCACTTCAAAAATTTCCCTGGTTACTTTCCCATCTAAATCACAATGATATCCAGCTGTCGATTCCCTGTGATAACTTTAATTGCAATTGCTTTGACATATATCCTTGTCTGTTTGCATATTCGTACCGTAGTCAGTCTATATCTGTTTAATGTTTCTGTAGCTTAGTTTGGTAATCCGTGCTGTGATCAATATTGAGGTCATATGTTCAGCTAATTTGCGCTGCAGGGAATTCGTTTGCAATATTTTCAAATTCTCACGTGACAGCTCCTTTTTTTCTTATTCCTGTTTAATTCATTGTTATACTGTTTTATTTGTTTTGATTTTGTCATTCAACTACATATATAATAATAAACCTGAACTACGTACAATATAGCTCCAGCCCGATACTCCATAATAATGCAATGGTAATACAGGCCACGCAAGTGGATTTTACCTACATTTTACGACAATATTTGTGAATATATTTAACACAAAGGCGTGAATTAAAAACATTTTCCATAAAGACTTACTTGTCTTCAGAAACAAATATATGGTAATATAGTACACGACTTTACTCGTGACAGGGAATTCACCATACGGCACTGCTAAAAATACATGCAGGAAATATTTAACTCAAGCCAATATCTGGAAACGTAAGAGCAATGTTGTCTACATATTGCTCGTGTTATGACAGATATACGGCAACATTAAAGTTATACCAAGTGCATAGGTTAGACATGGGTCTGACACATGAGTAATTTCTATGGAATAACAATTACAAAGCACCATGCGATTTAAGATACACTGCTTTAGGAGATAGCCGAGTGGCTTAGAGGTCAGAGGACTGAGCTGGCACGTCTGCATCTTGGGCAGCTGCCTGTGATTAAACTGAGTTATCTTCTGTTGTGAGTTATTGGTCTCACCCTCGTCACTTATGGACATTCTGTATACTGTACTGTACATTTATTCCCAGACATGTATATTTAAACGGACTGGGCAGATGGTAAGAAACTGATCTATCTGATCCACCTTTCCAAGCTTTTAGGCACAATCCCTACACCTAGAAAACATGCTGATATCGATTTTCTGTTACTCAGGATCTCAGGGTGTTCCGTTTCAGTAAAGTACCATCAGCGATGTGCACAAATCCTACTCCTCGTTCTACACGAATCTTGATCTATTGAACTTGCTTTATTTATGGCTGGCCTAAGAGCTACAGTGCTTCCAACTGAACCAACTGAAACTTAGGATTCTCCAGTAATACTGTAACCTAACCTAGGACCTATCCCTGGTGCTTTTCAGAAATATTCTGTCAAATATGCACGCATTTATATATACAGTACTAGCTGTACTACCCGGCTTTGCCCGGGACTTGGATTCACCATGCGCGGCCACCTTTGTCTCCATGGCGATGTTCACACACCACAGCAGTTTCTCGTTTGAGGCTGAGTCGACCTAGGGGAGGCCCAGGAGCGGTTGAAATAATCGTCACCGGTGGTGGCCGTGAGCGGGAATCGAACTCGGGTGGCCGGGTTCGTCGCGCAGCGCGCTAACCACTACACTGCTATGCGTTACGCTTCCACATGCGCGGGTCACATGACAGATTTGACGTCACAGCTCACTTGCCGTGCAAAAAATATATGCATTATTGAGCTCCCCCCCCCCATAATTTTTGCATGGTGTACAGTCTGGAAAGTACCCACATGGCAAATTTCAAGTTTGTTGCATGTCGGGAAGTACGCTAAACATTTTGAACAGACACACATATTCACAACTCTGCCTTTTAAATATATGGAGATACAAAAAAAAATACATTTATCTACGAATTACAACACAAAGTACATCACAAAATTGGTGGGAGACAGTTTTAACACAAGAAAACAAAATAGAGGTTTTTTTTTCGGTTAGATCGCGTAAATATATAAATGTGTTGTTAAACCCGCCACCATCCGACACAGCCTCTATTATGGATGAAATTGGTTGCGAAAGCCTACGTGTTAAATTTAAGGAAACAAAAGTTGACTTCCCACAAAGTGGTACTAATTTGATCATCCCCCCAGAGAAAGGATGGGCTGGGTCAGCCAATGAACTGGATTTGAAATCGTGCGATTCCAATTGGTTATTCAAGAACTGACAATCACATTACGTTAATTTCAATATTAAAATACATTTTTGAATAAAAGCCTCATTAAGTAGCAAGGGCGAATTTCACCAACTTCAGCATAATGAGCAAAACACGTTTACACTGTTTATTAAAATATGTATGGTAAAACAAAACATAGTGCGAGATAATGTAAAAGGGGCATTTGAACTTGGTCTGGGCATCCCGTCAGTTGACTCAGTCTTAAATGAGTACCTCGTATCCGGTGTGTGAAAATCACCACTGGTGTAATTCTAGCGACACCACCCATCTTGAGTGCAGTTCCTGCCGTAACATATGCTCACTAACTCTTCGAGGTGTGTGTTGAAGAACATTGAATTGCCTGTCATAGAAATGTGGAATGTCCACCTCTCAGAACAGCTGAGATGGATAAAAGACGACTCCACGCCATGCGGGTCATGGGGGGGTATTTAACCATACTTCACCACGATGGTTGTGGTGTGATTAAATAATCATATACGTTGGAGCATAGTAGAGTACATCTATGGCTTTTTTTCACTGCCCTCTGGTGATAACTTATCCTGAAAGGCTACAACACCTGCCCATACAAGAACTATACATATAGGATGGCCCAAAAGTCAGGAAACGTAGGGTCATTTAATTTATTTAAACACTGGAATTCAAAAATTGTAATTGTTTTTCTTTGGTTTAATATTTTACTCTCATCTATAATATCAATTTTTCTTATTCCTGTGGGGTCACCTCACATCCGTCGTTTACAAAACTAGACTGAGAACACGAAATGAGACAAACGGCGTTGATGAACGTTCAAAAAATTACACCTGTAATCTTAACAAGAAGTTGTAAATTAATTTCAGAAGATATTTCATGCGTGCATTAATGCTAAAGGAAGCCAGTTTGAAAATGTATTCAAATAAATTAAATAAGCACGTGCCATTTGTTAAAATAAATATAACCCTATGTATCCTGACTTTTGGGCCACCCTGTATAATCAGGCTCACAGCTGCTAACTTCCATGATCTGGCGAGGTGGATTAATTGGTGGTAATAGGCAACAGAAGTAACACTGCAATGTACACGAAATCAATGCCGACTCTAGCTGCAACCTTCCGCTGAGTTATGAGCCACATGGAACACCCCTGCTGGTCATTTTCGAGCAACCTCTTAAGTCCAGTACAACACTCTCGTGCCAGTATTACCAACAGCACGCGCGGGCCATATTTGTATCTCCAAACGCCAATGTGCACTCCAGATCAGGTCCTGCAGTTGTTGGTTCCGACACTACTATATTACCAGATCACTGCGCAAAGAAGACACGATGCTTTGATTGATCTTGTAAAGTTTAATTACACTCTGAATGTCCATGTCAATCCACTGCTGGATAATGATGGGTGTTATTTGACCATACCTCACCACGTTGGTCAATTGCTGGCTGGTGACGGCGGGAACATTCACCAAACACTGTAAATGGTGGTCCAGATGTCTTGTGACCTCCAATTAATTTACCCCTCACATTTTCACCCTTTGCATAATCATTTCTGTTTTAAATAAACCTTACTTCAAAATATAAAGTTTTAGAGAATTAAATTCGGGTCACAAGACATCTGGACCACGTATAGTAACAACTTTTTTTTGTTTTATCTGCACAGAATTTAAGTTTGATGATACACATTTACTGTATTAGATGTTGTTACTGTGTTCACACGTGAATCTGTATCGTACACAAAGGAGACGGGTCGACGAGGGGGGTATGAATGTGAACACAAGTTGTACACAAATCACTGCAGGCCACTCACCACTGCAACGGCCCTGTTGATTGCAGGAGCACGAACCCCGAAGTTTCTACTCACGACGCCAGCACATAATTCCGCGCTTAATCGCCTGCAATAGGCACTAACTTTAGCAATAACAATAATAGTACGTGGTAATATTTGTGGTGTTAAGCGTGGGAGTGAATGATGGGGGCCCGGTTAAACATTAATTGCACGAGGCGTCCCCAAGCCGTTGCTATGTGTGCGCCTGGAGACGGAGATCTCGCTCTCCATTGGTTGATTCTCCGGCGAGCGTACGCGTTTTGACCAATAACGCGAGAGTAAACTAACTGAGGCCACGCCCTAACCACCCCACTCTAGAATCACAATCTTCATTCAGACTGCAGAAGGAATCAGATGAGCTATAAAGCTCTTTTTTTACAGATTGTAGTAGGGGCGGGTCAGAACGTTACTACAGCAAACAATACAAAATCACGATAGCAGCGCCAAATATAGGAAAGGTAAACAAATCACTTAAAATATATACAAATAAAACTATATATTTTAAATCTTATCAGGTAAATCCCACTGAGATATCAACTTATTTGATCAGCAGCGACCTGGCCACAAATGATAGCTCAACAAAGTAACGTATCATGTGGAAAATTATAGCAGCAAAATCATCGAAATAATCTCAATGCATGTTTCTAAATGTGGAGGGAAAAAACCGGAGGACCCGGAGCATAAAAAATCTACGCGACCACAGGCAGAGAGACACGCAGACTCTAAACATACAGCAGCAGAAAGCGTCGTCAGGGTCGGGATTGAACCCACGACCTCCTGTATAGCACGCGAGGAAGTTAACATCGCACGATAAGCCACTTCATTGAGCTATCATTCGTGGCCAGGTCCCTTCTGAATAAGAGTTTGCTAGTTCTAATTACTGGCGAAACGTCGTACTCAGATTGTAAATGTTGTGGCTTTGCTCTCCAATACACCGGTGTGCTGTACTGGTAACGAATTGGCCACGTTCTGTTTACGTGACAACCCTTACTAGTTGGCTGTGTCGGGTGGTGGCGGGTTTACCGACACATTTATATATTTACATGATATAACCTAAAAAACTGTATTATGGATTCTCCAGTAGCATGTGTTTGAGCAAACAAACTCTGGACTGGTTTCGACATTTGGGGTCGCATCAGCAGTGAGGATTTTAAACATTTATTCAGTAGCAGAGTGAAATAATATCTGATTATTCCACTGTACATGTATCTTCTATTATAGAGGGATAGGGAGGAGAGTTGTGGGGATGGAGGGATGAGGCAAGTGATGGGAAGGGAGGGATAGGGAAGCGAGTGATAGTGAGGCAGGGATGGGGAAAAGGGTGATGGGGAGGGATGGCGAATTTAGTGATGGTGGAGTGATAGTAAGGGAGGGATGGGGAGATGCGTAATGGGGAGGTGAGTCATAGAGAGGTGAGTGATGGGGAGGCAGGGATGGAGAGGTGAGTGATGGGGAGGCAGGGATGGAGAGGGAGGGATGGGGAGGTGAGTGATGAGAAGGTAGGGATGGGGAGGGTTGACGAGGTGAGTGATGAGGAGGCAGGGGTGGGGATGGAGGGATGGGGAGGTGAGTGATTAGAAGGTAGGGATGGTGAGGGTTGATGAGGTGAGTGATGAGGAGGCAGGGGTGGGGATTGAGGGATGGGGAGGGAGTGATGGGGAGGTGAGTGATTAGAAGGTAGGGATGGGGAGGGTTGATGAGGTGAGTGATGAGGAGGCAGGGGTGGGGGATGGAGGGATGGGGAGGGAGGGATGGGGAGGTGAGTGATTAGAAGGTAGGGATGGGGAGGGAGGGATGGGGAGGTGAGTGATTAGAAGGTAGGGATGGGGAGGGTTGATGAGGTGAGTGATGAGGAGGCAGGGGTGGGGATGGAGGGATGGGGAGGGAGGGATGGGGAGGTGAGTGATTAGAAGGTAGGGATGGGGAGGGAGGGATGGGGAGGTGAGTGATTAGAAGGTAGGGATGGGGAGGGAGGGTTGATTAGGTGAGGGATGGGGAGGCAGGGATGGGGAAGTGAGTGATGGGGAGGGATGGGGAGGTGAGTGATGGTGAGTGATGCGGAGGGAAGGAGGGGTGGGGGACGTGAGTGGTGATGTCAGAGGACATCACGGGCCGTGACGTCACGGGGGAGCTCCGCGGAGTCGCCGGGACTCGCGAGCGGTCAGCGCGCCGCTGCTGCTCCTGCGCTGCTCTTTCTGCTGTTGTTGCTGCACAGCAGCTGATAGAGACTGAGCCTGTCTGGACGAGAGAGAGAGGGGGTGTGAGAGCTGAAGCGAAGCGGCGCAACGACTTGGGAGGATTTTCGACACTCCTCGGCACTTCGATGGGGTGGTGATGGTGACGACGGCGATTGTGGCGGTGACAGTCCCTTCAAGGCGGAGGAGACCCGAGGCAAGGCTGCGTTGCGCTTTTGTTCGTGCTTGTGATGTGTGACTTTGTTTCAAGTCGGTGTGGTTGGCATACGCGCAGGGCAGCTCACATGCAGTCAACTTGAAAAAGTTGTGAAAGTTGTGGTCAGGTTCACAGTCTAGAGTGGGGATTAGACTACAGATGGTGGTGGTGGTGATAGCGATGGTAGTAAAGGCGATGGTGGTAGTGATGAACTATGATGGTGATGATGGTGATATCGGTGATGATTTTGGAATTGTGGTGGTGGGTGATGGTAATTGGGGAGCGGTAGTGTAGTTGTTAGCCCACTGCGCTACGAACCCGGGTTCGATTCCCGCTCACGGCCACCACCAGTGACTATGTGAAGCGGTCCTGTGCCTCCCCTATGTCGACTCAGTCTTAAAATGAGTACCTGGGTGCGGTGTGTAAACATCGCTACGAAGGAGACCCAGGCGACCGGGCGTGGTGCTGGTCACCCACCTTCTCGTGTGCCGTGTCGGCCTTCATTGGTGCTAGCGAATAGCACTTGCCCCAACAGTCTGTTAAGGCTATACGGGGGATCTTTGTTGCGTAAAGTGGTTTGACCATAGCTTGAATTGACTTTGTCCAATTTGATGTCGCTGGTTAAATATCACAAGACGGCAAAATCAACTCCTGCTTCCAGCGAGAATGACTCTGATGTTTGTCACGTTTGCATGTGTAGCGAGTTCAACTGAGTCACAGACGTACTCGTTGGAGGCGATACATTTATTAACACCAACACACGGGGTACCTGCCCCTTTACAGGATAACAATCCATGGTGGTGGTCACCAGGCTAACTACACTAATTACACCGTGACAACGGACCGGACCACAGCTTGGGTCCCGGTACACGTGTTAGAGACTCTGTAGGACCTCTGGGGGACCCGGCTTATATCCTCTGCGCCGTGGCCGGCTCTGCCCTTGGCCACGCCCACCTTCCAGAATCCTCCAGCAGGATCTCGACCCCTAGCCCCCACTTGGAGCCCCTGTGGAGACTTAACCGGTCACGTGTCCTCTGGGGTCAACCAGAGTGCCACGGCCCTTAGTAACCCTATTCTCGTGGCCGGCACTCTCGCGCCCTATCCTGTAGGGACATGCACTGCCCGCCGAGCGTTGTGCCATCCAGCGCTATCGATCAGCGCTCACCGAGCCCCCTCTAGGGCCGGCACTGCACCCACATCCTCGTGGTGCCCGCGACGTCGCCACACCGCACGCCGAGCCCCTTTCTAGGGCCGGCATTACACAGTGACATCCGTGATGTCACTACACATGGTTTGCGTTTAAAGGTCTCCCAAGTTGTGTGGGCTCGAGTTCGATTGCCAACTCCACTTTGCTACGTAATTCTAAAGTTAATAGTGAGGGTTAGTTATGACTACGTGATTAATGGTGAAGTTTCTATTGTATGTATGTTGAACTTATTTCGCAGTTACATCATTGGGCTACCATTTGTGTTAGGTCGCTTTTATGGCAAAAGCAACAATATCAACATCGCCCCCTCCTGCGAAAAGATGGCAGGACCCTCCTGAACAAAGAGTCTTGAGACTCAATGAAACATTCCTGGGTAAACAAGCGTAACAAAATTAAAATGTAGCTCAGTGGGCCTTACCTGGTAATTTTTTTTAGATTTAATTGAATTTCCCACGCTCTCTCGTGCTCTATGTATTAAGGGGTTATCAGCAAATCGGTGAGTGTTTACATGGTGTTGGTCATCATACTCCAAGCATTTAATACGAGATGCCATGTGCGCTTATATTGGGGAACCAATCTCACCATTGTGCTCTCAGTGGTAACACTCGTGACTCAAAGCGACAAGTGTCTGGGTTCGATTCCCCCGTGTTCTTGTATGGGTTTCCTCCGCGTTCTCCGCTTTCCTCCCTTCGCTAAAACACACACACCCACACAACGTCATCGTTGTTGGTCAAACATCCCAAATGTAGCAGGACCCTCCTGCAAAAGAGGCTTCGGACATACCGTAGTGTGGCTTTTCTCGGTAAATAAAATGCAAATCCTGTCTGCAAAAAAAATGCAACTGTTGTGCAATGCTAATTAACAATGAACGGATCTTATCCATGCAAATTGCCGTGTTAACAGTGTAACACAATATCTGCATTCAGATAAGTCTCACGTGTACACATACCATCAGCACTTCGAGACCACAGCGCGAATGACTGTGGGGTCTAAATAGACCACTGTATGTGTCACCACACATAGAACAGTTTTACGCTCACATTTTAATTTGTTACGCTTGTTTACCCAGGAATGTTTCATTGAGTCTCAAGACTCTTTGTTCAGGAGGGTCCTGCCATCTTTTCGCAGGAGGGGGCGATGTTGATATTGTTGCTTTTGCCATAAAAGCGAAACTATGCCAAACTATTTTTTGTTATTTTACCAGGCAAGGCCCACTGAGCTATGTAGCTCTTTTCAGAAGCGGCCTGCAAACAGATGACAGCTCAGTGAAGTGGCTTATCACGTGGATATGTATAGCAGCCAAATACTCTAAACGCATGTTTCTAAATGTGGAGAAAAAAACCGGAAGACCCGGAGAAAAATCCATGCTATCATGGAGAGACCATGCACGCTACAAATATACAAACAAGGATCAGGAGCGAACCCATGATCTCCTGTTTACCAGGTGAGGTAGTTAACATCTCGCCACCGTGGCATCTGTTTGGCCAATACCAGTGACATTGTATAGGTATTTTTTTGCTATTGGAGGAGCCCAGGGAAAAGCCATACAGTAGAGGGGGGGAACATACAAACTCCAACACAGAGAGGCGCCCGAGTTGGGAATCAAACCCAGGCCCTTTTTACTGAGGCGCACCACCACCCTGCCAGCCTAGATTTTCGAGGCTCAAGACATTGGATTTGTTGAGATATACAAAATCTGCGTCGAGCTGCGCGGTACTTTAGAATACCGTGCGGAACATGTCCACCTCTAAGCGTTGGGCGATGCACCCAGGAGTCACGCCCGTGAATGCGTGCAGGGCCAACAAATCCATGCCATATTCAAGTCCGTAAAATGACGGAACGGTGGCGCAGCGGAACCCGACGATCCGCTGGTGTATCTCATTCATGGCTAACATCAGTGGCGAGCGACGATATCTGAGCCGTTCCTGGAAAGCTCCTCATCCCGGATAAGTTCGCAGAACCACCCGTGAAGAGAGGCTTTCTTCACTTGGCCTCGTTATTTGCACCAGAGGGGGCAGCTCGTGTCGCTGTGCAACTGCACCCTGCACGGAGTTTCCCGTTCGTCGAGCCCACGTCTTGCACTCTCAAGAGGGTGAGCGACTTGCGTAAAACAACACATGTACGAACTTCTCTTCAATTACTTCGTGTCAATTGAGGGGTATTTAAAATATATATTTTGGTGTTCAATGCAGCTGGCCACAGGCTGGTTTAAGCCAGATTAAGTGAAAACCCACGATTGATCTGCTGGGTTTTTGTGTGCAATCAGTCGTTGATGAGGCCGTGGCATCAGCCCCAGCAGTCTCTACGCTGCGTGGTCCGCGTGGTTCCGTGTTCCCTGCTCAGTGACGAGCACCTTCAGCCATCGTCCTGGGCAGCTGCTTGCGTTGCAATTGAACAACGGTTGCTGTCTTCTCACCCCTCTTTCCTCCTTGCCCATCGCGATTCACCGCACTCGATAAAGCTGCCGATCCTTGCAACGACCGCATGCAATCACGTTGGAGCAGAAGGGCGCTGCGCGTGTAATTGACTTGGGCCAATTGCGTTGTCATTGAATGCAAGGGGCGGAGTGCTTAGAGATGCTGCGCTCCACACACCGGGTTTCAATTGCTTGGTAAATAAAAGTACATAGTGGTAATGATAGTTTACATCTACATAGCGTTGTTTGTGTTAAACAGCACCCCGAACCGCTACACGTTAAGAAGCTTCGGAGGCCTAAAGCGACAACAACAAAAATTGCATCAAAAATCTAAATTCCGACAAAATAAAAATGACACCAGAATTTAAATTCTTTAAAGCTCCAATTACATGGGAAAATAACTCCAAGGAAAGCCGTCTCAGTGGTAAATAAATCAATGCAGCACAAATAAATTGAGGTGACAACCATCCCGACAAAGCACAGCACAAAAGCACAGGAATGGGCAATGATTGTCGGAAGCCTTGAGGTCCGAGAGGAATTGTAGGCTCAAGAGTTTGAGTTGCACGGACGTGGGACGGACGCGGCACGGATGTGGTATGGACGTGACACAGACGCGACTTGGACGTGGTACAGACGCTGCACGAACGTGGTACTAGCATGGCACAGACGCGGTGCGGATGCGGCATGAACGTGGTACGGACGTGGCACAACGTGGCACGGATGTGGCACGCACGTGGCACGGATGTGGCACGGATGTGACGAGGCCACGCGAGCAGCGGTTCCCACTCTTGCGGCCCACAGCCACTGTCATAGGACCCCGCAGGGCCCGTGGAAGGTTTCCCATGGAATTTTTGGCGCAATACGATTATTTTTTTTATTGCACAGATGTTTAGGTTGGTCAATGCAGGTATAGTCAAGTTTATTTGATTTGTTGCATGGATGATAATGATGAGGGTCCCGTCTTTCCAGTTGCCTGGCTATTGTACACGGGAGATCCATGGTGCTGCGTGAGCCACAGCAGCAGACAAAGACAAAAACGTTATCATCGCAGAGAAGGAGTACACCGGGTCTGTAGGGAACAGTGCAAGTTGGACGTTTATGTGGATTTTATTAAATACAATTTTGGCGCGTGGTGATTCTGCAAAGGTTTGGTAGACAGTTGATGCGGCGCGTGGGTCCTGGAAGGTCCTGGTACTGGAACAGCAGCCAAAGGAGGGAACTTCCGACCAACGCCACGGAGATGGGGCAATGAAATCAGGAGTGAGATAAATTCTGTCAGCGCAGGACTGCGTGGGATGGTGACGGACGGCATGCGAAAGCCTTTACCCAGCCGTGGATAGACCATGTCTGATGGTAATCATGATGATGATTTCCTCTTTGTGCTCTCATCTTTGAGCTTGATTCTTCATGCTTCAGGTGAACAGTGTTTCAGTTAAAGTACCAACCTGATTGTCGATTGCACACTTATGCCGATGTCTATTTCAGTGGCCTAGCAGACTACACTCTGCATGAGTTTATTTGACTCTTAATAAAACTTTCAGACTGGTACGAAAACACTTCTCTACATGGGGCTCTTTGTGCATTTTATAGCAGCTGGACTGCTGACAACAAAAATAATTTTTGGTCAGATCATAATCCTGTTTTTGCTTTTAGTACTTGGCTCACAATTTGAAAGTTGCAAACCCAATTCCTAACGATTCACAAAATTTCCCCTGAATATTTGATCCACATAATCTTCACCGAGTCTCAATACTTATTTTTAGAGCATCTTGCATTGGAGTGTTTGTCCAATCCCGTGAGTGCAGTGGTAGAAAATGAGAGTTCCCGGAGAAAGCCCACTCACGCAAAGGGGAAACACTCAAATGCTCTGTAGTGAAGGATTCCAGAACACATTTGTGGGACTACAATCTCATGATCACCAAGAGTTTTAAAATATATATTTGATCCACCAACCCTTGCCTCGGATGACAGTCTTCACACTGCACCCGGTCAGGCATCATCCCCAAGGTGACAATAAAATAAGAACTGCTTTGTGGAAAAAAAATCAACAGTGGTCATTCCGACTATGGAGTGACTGGTTCCGACTATCGGAATCAGATATTTTCCTCACTGGCTTAGGGCTGTTTGTGAAACGCAAGCACCGCTGACAGTACTGTACATATTTTCGGTTTCTTTTTCTGGACCTCTCGTGGCGAGCGAGAGTAAAATTTAAGTGAGGTGAGGAGGAGGAGCAGCAGCAGGATGGATGGAGTGCGCTGTAGTCCGTTTGACGGGGCACGGACGAGCAGCTGTTGTGTTTAGTTGACAAACTACTGACACGGCATCAAAACCCAGCACGGACCAGCGTTCCGGGCGGGGAGGTTTTTTTGTTTGTTTTCGGTGTCTCTGGTGGCACAGCTCTCGGCTGATTCATACGAATCACGGCCTTTGCTAAGAAAAGAGAGAGTCTGTGAATCACTCTGGAATCTGGCCGTGGTTTTGGTCGTTTGGAGTGAGTTCTTAGTAAGGCTTTACGTTTTAATAAAATGCCGCGTGAAGATATGTCATGTGAATGTAAATGTTTTTTTTCATTTAATGAGCAAACACCTATTGACCTCCTGGCCTACAGACATGAAAGCGTTGTGATGGGTGGTGGTGGGGGGGGGGCGTGTGTCGATCTGGGGAAGGTGGACAGCTGAGAGAGGCCTTGAAGTGGCCTCCAGAGGATGATGGTGGCAGATCTTGGAGTTCATATCGCAGCGCAAATGTCAATTGTGCAACTTTTCCCAGAACTGACAGAAGGAAGTAAGAAGCGGTGCAGTATGTGGTGACCCCTCAATATATTTTTGTTTAATTTAGGTTTGTGCACTGTTTTCTATTCATTCTGAACTCCAGTTGATTTTGCTTTGATTTCTATTTGCTTCATTGTTGGACTCTGTTTTAAGTTGTCGCTCTGGCGACCCTGGTCACACTTGCAATTGAGCCTCATCCTCGTCTCTTGGGTTCTCACTTGGTTAAATAAAATAAACTTGCTGCTCTCTTTCAGTTGGAGGGATTTGGCATGAGGCCTCAGACTGGCCGCCGGGCCCTGGTGGCTCATCTGCAGGCACTTCTGCTGCTGCTGCTCCTACACGCCGGTCCCTCCGTGGCATTTTCCTGCGCCGGCCGGAACGACGCCGAGAATTCCGTAACCCCCACCTCGGCGTTCGACTTCGCGATGTACGTCGCGCCGAGTGCCGTCTCCAACGTCGCGGCCAGAAACGGCGCCATCTATGTCGGCGCCACCAACGCCATCGTGGTGCTGGACCGCGAGCTGCGAATGGTCAGGAACTACACGACGGGGCCCAGGCCCGAGACGTACGGGGACGACCCCTGCCGGGACCTCCCCGTCAGCGGTAACAACAACGACACCGGCGGCGGTGCCGGTGCACCGCGCCTCGTAGACAACGACAACGCGCTGCTGCTGCTGTCGGACGACTACATGGTGGCGTGCGGTAGTGCGCGCCGGGGGACCTGCGTGCTGGCGCGGCTTCGCGGCGGCCCCGGGGACGCGCGCTGCCTCTACAACCACGACGAGGACGACGATGATGACGACGACGAAGCCGAATCCTGCCCAGACTGCATGGCCGGCACCCTGGGCAGCCGTGCCGTGCTCTACTCCGACGGCTTCACCCGGCTGTTCGTCGCGAACACCGTCGATGGCGGCGGCGGGCGGTTCGCGCCGCGCTCCCTCTCGCTGCGCCGGCTCAAGACGAGCGAGGACGGCTTCGTGTTCGCGGGCCAGCACGTCGGGGCGGACTCGACGATGGACGTGCTCCCGCGGCTGCGCGCCGCGTACCGCGTGCGCTACGTGGACGCATTCGCGAGCGGCGCGTACGTCTACGCGCTGTCTGTGCAGCGGAGCGCTCCGGGCTCCGGGCGCTATGAGACGCGCCTGGCGCGGTTCTGCGCCTCCGAGTCGGAGTTCACGTCCTACGTCGAGTTGCCCCTGCGCTGCGGCGGTGCCGACACGCGGCTGCGCCGGTCGGCGGAGCCGTCCGACTACGAGCTCGCGCAGGCCGCGTTCGTGAGCCGGCCCGGCGTCGAGCTCGCCTCCTACCTGAAGCTGAAGGGTGGCGACGAGGCGCTGTTCGTGGCGTTCGCTCGGTACGGGGGCGCCGCCACCGGGCCCGACGAAGCCCCTGTGCCGCTACCCGACTCGGCCGTGTGCGTTTTCTCCCTGCCCGCCGTCGACCTGGACATCGACAACGCGCTGCGGCGCTGCGACATCAAGGGGCTCGATCACTTCCTCGGCACAGAGCCGCCGGCGTGCACACCGGTGAGCGGCGTGCGGCGGTTGTTCCCGCGGTGCGACGCGTTCGTCTGGAGTGCTGATGTTACGTACGTCGTGATGGCGACGACATTTCTTCCCAAATGCAAATCACTAAAAATATAGATTTCCAGGCGTTCCCCGCTTTTATGACACAACAGGTTCCTGGAAACCCCGTCATCATGAATTGGACCCTATATTTCCATTGATGGTTTAATCGGTAAAAGTCCACAAAAATGCTAAGTCGCATCGGAAAGCAGACCAACTCTATTTAAATGTGTTTGGAGTCATGTCAGAAGATGTGTCTGTGTCGTAAATTGATCCTTGGTTGCACTATGTAAACGTCGTTAATGTAGATCATTGTAAATTGGAGACCGCCTCTATAATAGCAGTGGCTCTGAAACCCACGGAATTGACTAGTAAAGAATTCAACACAGTGCCTACTTTCCCGAATATTTAGGACTGCGTAGGCTTTTGCGGTTGCTCTGCGCAACTCTCTGGCGTTGATACCGGGTTGTTACTGTGTATTGTTCGGCACGATGTCCGACATTTCAGTTCCTTAAAAAGCTCCCAGAAACGTCGGACATCGTGGCAAACCACACGACGTGCAACCAGAATCAGCATTGGAGAGCTTGGTCTAAACTTTAATTCATAATAAACTTTCCCAGGCGCTGACACGGCCTTGCGGTAGCACGTTCCCCGCTCGTTGCAGAGCTCGAGAGTTTTCATCCAGCAGGCCGCCCTGCTTTATAATTGCGGCATGCGTTCACGATAAAAAAAAACTACGCGCCGTCTGCACAGCGGACGTTCAAGATCCCGTGACGTTGTTCGCAAGCGTCAGGCCGTTGTGTGCTGAAGTCGTTATCCAAAGTTTCCCAAAAGAAAAAAAAATCACCGCAAATTACTCAACTGAAGTTATAACGGAGCAGTCATCGCATTCTACTGGAAAAAAAAAACACTTGGTAGGACCCTCCCAAACAGAGAGTTGTGAAAGTTTTCTGGGTAAACAAGCGTCAGAATAATAACGTTGTACAAACCTTTTCCAGAAGCAAGTGTTCAGGGCATTTCAGTTGCTCTCTCCCACCCAGTGAGTGGGCGGGAAGGTGGGGGAGGGGCCGGGGGTTGTGAAAGTAAAAAATGTGAAAACCCAAAGCTGCCGGGTGCATGGGGGATGAACAATTCACTTGCTTCAGTGCGTTTCTATTGACCAGCTCCACACCATTCATCCATTTAATAATCCCGAAGCGGCAAGTCACGGCCTGATTGAGAATATAGCTGGGGAAGCACTGATTTTATTACATATTTTCTTCCCGTGTGTGACGCAGGCAATATTCAGGAGCTAAATGCCAAAGTCGAGAGGGCTTCAGGAGAGAGCGTTTGTGTCGTTTTGCTGCCCCTGCTGCTCTGTTGAAGGAGCACAGACCACAGTGGTTATTTGTACGGTCTATAGTGTGGATTGCATGCCCACAAGCACACTACTGTAGCTTGTCTTCATTGTGTATCTATGACTCTCTACGAGTCTCTATGGGCTTACTTTACGGTCCATTGTTTGGGTTGCATGGCCACAATCATACTGCTGTGGATTGTCATCTATGTTTCTAGTGATTGAGGAATCCGCAGCAATAACCGAGGAACGATATTTATGACAATTAGATATCCACAGTGACATGTTTGGGGCGACGTGGTGGCGAGATGTCATCTCCCTCACCTGGTATGAAGGAGGTTGTGGGTTCGCTCCCAACTCTCGTTCTCCCCATGGTCGCATGGATTTTTCTCCTGGTCCTTCGGTTTTTCACTCCACATTTAGAATCAACATGTGTTTAGAGTATTTAGCTGTTATAAATGTCCACGTCATAAGCCGCTTTGGTGAGCTATCATTTGTGGCCAGGTCGCTTCTGAAAAAGAGCGATATAGCTCAGTGGGCCTAACCTGGTAAAAAAAAATAGTTTAGTTTTATGTTACCTTTTCATCGCTCAAACCACCAACGGAAACGATTACAAAACGAACTTGACCACCCCTTTAGGGAATAGCAAAAAAAGTTTCCGAGAACATTATCCCAGTCTGCGTAGACAGAATAACATGCTCCCCTCCCCTCCCACATGTGTCTCCACATAAACAAACCATTGTATTAATAGAGTTTTTCCCCTTTTTTCTGGCAACAAAACTGAAACCTTTTTTACAAGGATTCATGTCTGCATTAACCATAATACCTGCAGTCAAAATGCAACAAAAAACATACTATGATAATATATGCATTGTCCTTGAAACTGATTGGTCCACACCAAGGGACGGCTTTCTTTTGAGCCTCGACCCAATTGGTGCTCGACCAGATGACGCCAAAAGGCCTTTTTGGCGTCTCTCTGCTTGCGCGAAACGTGGAGCCCCCTAAAGTAACATCTGCACCAGTTTGAAACATTCAGACTGGCCTGCCTATGATGCATCCTGGTTTTCACCAGGCTGGATTGTGTGAGGAGCTGACAGATCCTTGAAAGATCTGAACGCAGTTCCATCAGTGAGCTCCTCTGGTAGACGAAGCTGAGTTTGCTGGGTCATATAGTCCAGATGCCCAGCCACCGCATGCCCAAGCAGCTTGTGTTTGGCCAGTTATAGGGGTTAAATGGGCATGGCATGGGCTAGAGAAGAGATGGACTGATGCAGCACAGTATTCCCTTGTTATTCATGAACTTGCTATGCACAATTTTGGCTATCCGCGAATCGCGTCTGGAACTCTACACGACTGCATCGAGAGAAAGAAAGTGATGACATAAAGTGATGACATAAAGTGATTAGAGATAAAGTGACGAGAGATAAAGTGATTAGAGATAAAGTGATGAGAGATAACGTAATGAGAGATAAAGTGATGAGATTAAAGTAAACAATACTTAAATTTTTTGTTTTTTCTTTGTTTATAATAACCAATTATTTTTTTTGTGTTATAATAATGTTCATGTTTTTAATAGCTTATTTATGTATTTATTTAAGGTAATTAATGTAATATGCTAATATAATTTGCTATTCACGAGCATCTACGGAGCGTATCCCTCACGAATAACAAAGGAATACTGTATAGAAGGATGTGGAACTAATTGGATTTGCTGATGACTGGGATCAGCGGTGTCAAGATCAACCTCTGTGGAGGAGGTTCGTGAAGGATGCTACTGGGCAGTTAGAGACAGTCGCCCTCCAGTGATGCTCACAACAACGAGTGGAGCACCGGGCGGCTAAAACGCAGAAAGTTGGCACAGTCCGGAGCACAGCTGGTGCATCTGCCAGTCATCTCAGTCAACCCATGGCACCTGCTGGGTCTGTTCACGTGTCCTCAAGGTGCACCTAGCCTGGCACAAGCTTCGTGGTGATGTCACCGCCATGTAGTGGCGAGTGGCGTTTGTCGTTGTTCTAGTTGGAGCGGTAGTGTTATGGTTAGCGCACTGCATTACGAACCCTGCTTCCTGAGTTCGATTCTCGCTCACGACCAATGACAGTGGCGTCTATCTATTCTGGGCCTGCCTTAGGTCGACTCAGCCTTAAATGAGTACCTGGTGCGGTGTGTAAACATCAGCACTGGGGAGACAAAGGCGTCCTGGCGGGGCGTTGGCCACCCACCCCATCGTGCCCTGCGTTGGCCTTCATGGGTGCTCGTGGTATACGGCTCTCGTCCCAAAGGTCTGCCGCAGCCTTGGGGGCAGCCACGACCCGCGGGGGTCGTTCACTCACTGCACTCTTCACAGAGCTTATGCACACGCCCAAGTACGCGCCCGTTGAACCACTTGGTGCATTTGCAATGTATAGACCTGGGCGCTTGTTTCAAGTTATAATAAAAAAGTTTTAATTTATTCCGCTCGTTGAACCAGGAAATCATGCTAAGGTTTTTGTAGTAGGGGATATGTATAATTCCTGTTGAGTAATTTGTGGTGCGATTTTTTTATTATTTGAACCATGATGCCGGCACGCAGTGGCCTAACTCTTGCGAACGACGTCACGGGACCGTAAACGCCCGCTGTAAAGCGGACGGCACGGAGTATTTTTTTCGTTAACGCACGCCGCAGTTATAACCAGAGCGGCCTGCCGGATTCAAATCGTCCACCTTAGCAACGAGCGACGAACGCGCGATCGTAAAGCCACGGCTGCGCCTGTGAAAGTTTGCTGAACGTTATAAATTAAGAAAGTTTCGACCAAGCTCTCCGATGCGGATTTCCTCGTCCATGAGCCGCAGTGCGGCGATGCATCGTGCGACATGAGATCCACGTTAACCGAGTAATTGTTTTGCAAACTATCGGATCACGATCATCACTGCTCGTAACTTAATTGTTAAATACTTGCGCGTCATTTCCTGACAAAACGTTATAAAAATAACAGTAAAGTCCCATATTTAAAGCTCACAAAATAATTAAAGTGAAAACACATTACCCTTTCAATTAATACTTTAAAAAGTTTTGGGGACTAATTGACTGCGAGATGGTTAAACGACATCATAATATGTCAGCCGTTTATTGAGTAATTATTTAGTGCGTGCAACTGACAGCATGTGCGTTATAACCGTCGCAGATTGTGATGTTAGCAATAATTAGAACGTTCGTGGTCTGCTCACGCAGAGTGAACTGCACTGACAACACTTAATTACTACTCTTAGTGCATACAATTATACATATACAAAAATGTCAAGCACAAATGCAAAGTTTAATGAGGATGACTTATTATTTGCACTTATAAAAACACAGTCAATTCGCAGGTCACGTATGGTGGGGTAAAGTGTGGGTAATCTCAAGTCTTTCAAGACGTTTGACCAGCAAGGAAAAGTAGGTCTCTTGAGGGGCCTGCTACAGCTCTCTCCGTCAGCAGTTGCGTGATTGAGCAGCTGCAGGGCTGCGCATTTCCCGTATTTTGCACCACACTGGACCCATTTTGTTACAAAGGATTTGCTGAGGGGGAGAGGCGCCGTCGCATGCCACGGTTGACATTTTGGATTCCCTGGCCACGTTTCCCTGCGACGGGGTGAGTGGCTCACAATC